TTTTATTTTATTTAATTTTTTGGGTGAGGCAATTGGGGTTAAGTGACTTGCCCAGGGTCACACAGTTAGTAAGTGTCAAGTGTCTGGTCTGAGGTGGGATTTCAGCTCAGGTCCTGCTGACTCCAGGGCCAGTACTCTATACACTGCACCACCTAGCTGCCCCATTTATCATTTCTCTTAAGAAGAACGTAGCACAGCCAAGTAAACTAGAGGGTTAATGCCCATGGCATACCTGTATGTCCTTACTCCTGATGAAGTTGGTTTAGTTGAAGACAAACTGAAAGGTCTCACTCTGACCTCCCAGTTACCATATTGGGGAGCTTATAATATATGCCATTCCATTTTCTGTTTCATTATTTGGGGGAAAACCCTAGCATTTTCATATTCATCCCTTAGGAAATTCTAGAATTGAAAAAATATAAGAATTGGAAGGAACCTTAGAGACCCTTTGGTAATTGACCAAGATTTCTCTTTATGTCATTCTTCATGAATGGTTGCTCTACTTCTTAAAGATCTCCAGTTAAGAGGAGCCAACTACCTACCAGGGCAGCCCATTTCCATTTTCGATAGCTCTGATAGGTAGGAAGCTTCTCCTTATGTCAAATATATGTTAGCTTTTTTGCAATTCCCATGCGCTACTTTGAGTTGCACCTTGGCAGGGAAAGCAAGGGGGAGAGGCAGGAATCCTATTTCTACATGATAATCTTTAGATGGCTATCATGTCCCCCTCCAAGCCTTTTCTCCAGGTTAAACATTCCTTGTAGTTTCTTCAATGGATCCTCATATGGCGTGATCTTGTTGGCCTTTCATAATCTTGTTACCTTCCTTGGGACAATCTCCAGCTTAGCAATGTCCTTCCTAGAAAGTGGCATCCAGAACTGGATGTATTTCTGCCATTACCTCCCTAAACTCATACTCATAGTTTGCGAGGGACAATGAGTTCTACCAGTAAGTGATGTGATATAGATAATTTATTGGGAAAAACACAGGGGTGGGGAACCTGCAGCCTCAGGGCCACATGTGGCCTTCTATATCCTTGGGCGTGTCCTTTTGATCGAGTCCAAATTTTACAGAACAAATCCTTTTATTAAAGGGATTTGTTCTGTGAAGTTTGGATTCAGCCAAAGGGACGCACTTGACACCCTAGAGGGCCACATGTGGCCTTGAGGCCACTGGTTCCCTACTCCTGCAACTAGAAACACAGGACCAAACTATTTCATGATTATCTAGCCCTTGCTTAGTTTAAATAAATAGTTCTCAAACTTTTCCACAGTGGTAGAACCTTTCAGTTTAAACAAAACTTTGGTAGAACCTTTGCAACAAAATCCTTTTATTATTTTTAATTACTATTAACAATGACATAAGACTTATTTTTAAAAATTGGGGGTGATTCAGGGCTCCTTGCAGCATAGTTTGAGAAACATTGGCTTAGATCAAAGATACAGAAATAGTAGGATGCAGTGTAAGGAATTACCCTGCACTGGAAGGAATTACCCTGCACTCCTGACTCTCTGGGACTTTCTCAGCCGGGCACCTTCGTCTCTTCCCTTGCCCCTATTACCATTTTTGAGTTTCTACTTATGTGCTGTCTCCCTTCATTAGAATGTAAGCTCTTTTAGGATAGAGATTGTCTTTTTTTCAGCTTGCATTTGTATTCCTAGAGCTTAGCACAGGGCCTGGCATGTAGTAAGCACTCAGTAGATGTTTCTTGATTTGACTTTGTGTCATCTTGGACAAGTCACCTTCTAATACCACCAGTCAGCTTTCATGTTCCTTCTGAATCTGTGCTTCCCTAGATAAACATCTCCAGCTCATTCTTCTTCTGGTAATTAAAATTATTTGTTTTTACATCACTACATTACTCACTGTATCTCTAGCCCCTCCCCCTAGAACCATCCATCTCTTCTAATAAAGAATTTTAAATGGAACAAAAAAAAATGTTCCACAAAACCAACCCATATATTACAGAGAGAGTGAGACTGACAACTGTGCAGTTCTGCCTCCCTCAAATCCAATTTTCATGAGAGTCAAGACATCACCCTGTGATGTCATTGGTCCTTTTTGAAATGAATGACAAACAACAATCTGGGCATTTTGTACTTTTGTAGGTAATCCTCTATTCCTTATGCCTCTCAAATTGATCATTGTTGGAGGGGGTTGGGGAAAGACAGGTACACTGCTGCACTGTTGGTGGAGATGTGAGTTGGTCTATTGATTTGGGAAAGCAACCTGGAACAACATCTAAAAAAATCACCAGAAATTCTACCACCAGACCTATATCCCAGAGAGATCAAAGAAAGAAAAAAAGGAACCATATATGCAGAAATATTCATAGCTGTTCCTTTTATAATGGCAAAGAATTGGAAAATAAAGGGGTATGCATAACTTGGAGAATGGCTGGACAAATAAAGATATATGAATGTAATAGAATGTTATAGTGTCATAAGAAATGAAGGGAAGGGAGAGTTTTAGTCAGATCTGAGAAGAAGTTCGAACTAATGCGAGTAAAATGAGCAGAACCTAGATAATAATGCATATAATAACAACATTATAAAGGAACAATACTTTGAAAGACTTAAGAACTCAGATCAATGACCAACCCTGATTCCAAAGTACTTATAATGAAACATACTACCCAACTCTTGTAATGAAATACACTTATGACAAAAAAAGTGATGAGTTCAAGGTGTAGAATGGGAAATATATTTTCAGACATGATCATTGTGGGGATTTGTTTTGCTTGACTATGGCTATCTGATACAAGAGTTTTCTTTCTTCTTCCCTTCCTTTCTTCTTCCTTCCTTTCTTTTTTTCTCTCTCCTTCATTCCTTTCCGCCTTTTTTTTCTTTTTACTAGGCAATTGGGGTTAAGTGACTTGTCCAGGGTCACATAGCTAGTAAGTGTCATGTGTTGTATATCTGAGACTGAATCTGAATTCATTTCCTCCTGACTCCAAGGCCAGAGCTCTATCCACTGTGCCACCTACCTGTTCCTTCTTTCTTTCTTTAAATTGCACGGGAAGAAGAAGAGGTAGTGATGGGGTGACCAAAAAGAAAAGTAAGAAAATAGGATCCCTGAAATATTTTTTAAAATTCATAGAAGAGAATGAGAGTCAGTAGGAAACATGGAAAACAGGTAGCTTTGAAAATAACTTGTTAAATTTACTGTATACTTAAAAATAAAAGCAAGCTGTTCATAATGCAGACTCACAATTTCATGCACAATCTTTTTCTTTTCTACTTTGTATGTGGAAAGTCTCATTCTATTTGGTATTAAGTTTAAATTTTTTTAGATTAAAGTAAGTTTTCTTCTTACATATGCATGCAAGTTATATAACGCACACACAAGCCCACCCTTTATAAATTTGCATTTATTTCATTTAACATAGCACTTTGCATGTACTGGGTGCTCCATAAATGTTTGTTAAATTGAATTGCAGACATCATTAAGAGAGAATGAGCTTCACACCATGGTGTACCCCGGCCCCTGTTAGCTGTTCTTTATCCTAGCTGGCAATATGAAAAGATAACAGAACCAGAATTATGGTGGGCACAGGAATACCTGGAACAGGCAATGATGACTCTTTTGATTACAAGATAATTATTTACATCATTTTCTGTGAGGCGCAGAAGAGCAGAGTAGTTAACACCCTATAATTATAGCCTATAATCAAGAAAGAAAACAAGCAGAATAAGAGAGGGGTAAGGCTCTAAGCCCAAGAAAAGGCATGATGTACTCACCTGTTTAATTAAATAACTGAGCTGCCACACACACACACACACACACACACACACACACACACACACACACACAAAGACTTACGAATGAAACCCAGCTGCTAAAGTGTCCAGCCAAGAAAAGACAGTGGATTGATTTTTTTTAATTGCTTAAAATAAAGGATTTAATTCCTGGGTCTTTTAAAGGAAAAACAAAATTAGTGATTAGTGTTCATTCTTTTTTGGTGGGAAAGGAATGGATTGGATTGGAATCCGTTCAGCTTCTCAAACTAATGGGAAGAGAAAAGAATCCTTGATGTCTGGAAACAACAGCAGAGAAGGAGGTAGTGCTGCTGGTGGCAGAAGTGTGGGGTGGGAGGTCAGCAGCAGTTGAGAGGGCACAGAGCCTTCTCCCACAAAGGGGCCTCAACTTGACACTCACAGAAACCCAGGTTCAGTCTTCAGAGAGCCTAACTTCTAAGCTAGGGAATTAGATTCCTCTTGGGAAATGGGAAGAAAGGGAGGGAATAAACATTTATTTAGTGCCAACTGTGTGCTAGGCACTGTGCTAAGTGCTTTACAGACATCATCTCCTTTGATTTTGCCCACTCTATCAGGTGACAGGTAGGTGGACCAGTGGGTAGTGTTCATGACTTGGAGTGAGGAAGATCTGAGCTGGAATTCTGTCTCAGACACTCCCTAGCTGGGTGATCCTGGGCAATGTCATTTTAACCTCTCATCTGTAAAATAGAGAAAATAATAGTGTCTACCTCCTAGGGTTGTCATGAGGATCAAATGAGTTAATATATGTACAGTGCTTTGTAAACCTTAAAGTGCTATATAAATACTAGCTATTGTTATTTTTGTTATTATTATCATTATTATTTATTGTTTGCTTGTTTTCAGTTGCATACAACTCCTTGTAAGACTATTAGGGTTTTCTTGGCAAAGATACTTGAGTGGTTTGCCATTTCTTTCTCCAGCTCATTTTCCAGATAAAGAAACTGAGATATACAGAATTAAGTGGCTTGCTCAGGGTCACACAGTTAGCAAGTATCTGAGACTGTATTTGAACTCAGGAAGATGACCAGCACTGTATCCACTGCACCACCTACTTTTAATTACAAATACGGTAATAATAATAGCAGTAACGCTAACAATAGCAACAACAATGATAATGGCTTACCGTTACATAACACTCTCAAAGTGCTTCATAAATATTATTTCATTTGATCCTCATAATAATGTGATGAGTCAGTTGCTATTATTATGTCCAATTTACAGATGAAGAAACAGAGTCCAAGAGATTAAGTGATGCTCCTGGGACCACACAGTTAATGTGTCTAAAACAAGATTCCAACCCAAGTCTTCCAGATTCCAAGTCCAGCATTCTTTCAGCTTTATAGTCATGTGTTACAACTGATTTGGCCATTCCTCAATCAGTGAGTATCTACTTTGTTTACAATTCTTTGCTACATAAAAAGTGTTGTACTAAATATTTCAATATCTATGAGGCATTTAATTTGGTCATTGATCTCTTTGAGGTATACACCTAACAGTAGAGTCCTTGAGTCAAAAGAGATAGATGTGTTTAAATTTCAAAATGTTTTCTAGAATAGTTGGATCAATTCATAGCTCTACCAACAATGCATTGATGTGCTTGTCTCTACAGATCCCCTGCTATATGACTATTCTTGTTTCAGTTTTGGTGTTTTTTGGTCAACATTACCAGTTTTCTAGAGATGAGGTGAAACCTTGGGGTTGTTTTGATTTGCATTTCTATTATTATTATTATTTTAAATTTGTATTATTCTTTCATATTGTTGCTAATAGTTTGGAATTCTTCTTTACTGAACTATATATTTGTATCCATTCACTATACAGGAGAAAGGATAAGGCAGATGATGTGTAGGTGGGGGAAATAAAAGGAAGGCAATAAGCATTGTGCTAAGTGTTTTTACAAATATTATTATTATTTCAGCTGAAGTTAACCAGAAAGTGATCTGGAAGATGAGTGAATGTTATGACTGCAACTTTTGATTGGGTTAGTTTTAGAGCAACCTGGGAAGATTTATATGAACTGCTGCTAAGAAAAGTGAGCAGAACTAGTAGAAAACTGTAACAGTAATATTAAAATCATAATCAACTGTGAAAAATTTAGCAACTCTGCTCAATAAAGCAATCCACAATTCCAAAGGACTGACAATGAAAAATGCTGGCCACCTCCAGATAGAGAACTGATGGACTCTGAGTGTATATTGAAGTACATTTTTCTCTTAATTTTTTTTGCTTCATTTTTCTTCACAACATGATTAATGTGAAAATGTTTTGCATTACTTCATATGTATAATGGGTATGATTTTCTTGGCTTCTCAATGGGGAGGTGGTGTGTGAAGGGATACAAAATAATTTTTTAAAAAATTTTGAAAAGGTCCACCAATTATCAAGTCACTCCATTTTATTTGCACAAAAGTTTTTCAATTTCATGTAATAAAAATTATTTATTTCATATTTTGTAATGGTCTCTATCCTTTATTTGCTTTAGAATTCACATGCGCTCCAATGTGCACTCGCACACATATATAGCCCAAATAATGAAAAAATTTTATCTGGTCTCCTTCTAATTTTTGTTATGATATAATCTTTAATATTCAAGACATATCCCTTTTGGCTTTATTATAACGTAGTATAACTATTGGTATAAATCTAGTTTCTACCAGCTTGCTTCCCACCACAAAATTTAAGTACCTATTATTCAGCATATAGGGCATATACCATTTCTTCCCCCTTCTGGGCTATCTCCTTGGCTTCTTTTCTTCTCAAAGACTTTCCTTATAATTCAATTAAAAAAAAACATTTATCAAACACTTACTATAAGCTAAGTACTGGAGATACAAAGACAAAAGTAAAATAGTCCCTGCCTTCAAGCAACTTCCATTCTACTAGAGGTATACAACATGCACACAGATGAGTAAATAATAAATATATACAACATGATGCAGTATAAAGTAACTTCCAGAGGAAAAGATGGGGATTAGGAACAATTAGGTGAGAAAGAGGCAGCTAGGTGGCACAGTAGATAGAGCACCAGGCCTGGAGTCAGGAAGAATTGAGTTCAAATTGACCTCAGATACTTACTAGCTGTGTGACCCTGGGCAAGTCACTTAACCCTGTTTGCCTCTATTGCTTGTCTGTAAAATAGCTGGAGAAGGAAATGGCAAACCACTCCAGTATCTGCCAAGGAAACCCCAAAATGGGGTCACGAAGAGTTGGACATCACTGAAAAATGATTAAACAACAAAAGGTTGGAGAGGATGGCACCTGAAATATATTGGGAAGCCATAGTAGTTCTATGACTTCCTCTTGTGCAGTAGCTGCCAAAAAAAAAAAAAGTCTTCTGAGTCTTGGGATACGTACCTTTCTAGCAACTCATTATGTACATTTCTGGTGATTGGCAAAGTGAGATTGAGAGAGAGGGAGTGGAGAGACTTGCTAAAATTTTGGTTTTCCATCTCATCTTGGAAGCTGGGAGGAAATCAGTTTTATGGTTCCATAAAGTTGTCTGTGGAAAACTAATCCTTTGGATATGCCACCAACTGCCTAATCATCTTTGGGAGGAATCATATTAGAGCCAACTGGAGGCTACAAAACCTTCACAGCTGTTTTCTTGATATTCCAAATCTACTTTTCAATAAACACAGATTTCACTCTCCAGCTTTGAATCAGCGACTCTAAAAATAAGTTTCCGAGTAAAACAGCAACCACAGTATTCCAGCCTCACAGGCCTTCTCTTGTGTGGCTCTGTAGGATGCCAGGCTGACTGAATAGCTCCATTTCCCAGCTTTAGGTAGATGGTGACCTCAGAGGCACACACATTCTCCAATAACAGTCATCACAAATTCATTTGAATCAGAGAAAATCTTAGATCTTGTATTTTGACTTCTGTTACTTTTTTAAAAGTTTATATTATTTTTTTAAAATTTACTCAAAGTAGTAAACAGAAGAGAATGGAAAAAATTTGTGCCTCATCTTAAAGAGAACCAAATATCTTTATTCAGTGACAGCCCCAGTGAAAACCAACAAAAATAACTCCCTGTATTAAAAAAAATTAATAGCTTATATAGTGCTTTAAGATTTGCAAACAACTTGCCATGTTACTTCATTTGATCCTTATAATAACTCTATGAATTAGATACTATTATTATCCTTATTTTGCAGGTGAAGAAACTGAGCCTGAGAATATGACTTACAATGGATCCCACAACTAGTAACTCTGTGAAGTGGGTGTCATTGTTATCCCAATTTGCCAGATGAAAGAAACTAATGCTGAGTTATTAAGTGATTTGCCAACTTTACACAGGTAGTAAGCATCTGAGGGAGGATTTACACTCAGGTGTTGCTGATTCCAAGCCTAGAACTCAAACCACTATCATCTAATTGCCTTCGAAATAAATACCTTTGACAGAACTGAAGGTCAGCTCCAGAAGAAAGACTCAGTCAATTGCCCCAATCCCCAAAGGCACAGGTTTGTGACACTAACTGCCACTCACTCCCACTCAACTTTCTTGATTAGCCATGACACAAGTGACTTCCCAGGGCCCTTAATTCACTGAAAAAGCCCCTGTGACTATCCAGGATTCCTACTGTGGGGAGAGAATGCTCCCTATAGCTAATAATAAGAGAAATGCAAGTTAAAACAACTCCAAGGTTCCACTTCACATCCTGAACTTTGGCAAAGGTAATAAGAGATGGGAATAATTACTGTGAATGGGGTTATAGGAAGGTGGACAGACTATTTATTGCACTTTTGTGTAATATGATAATTTTGGAAGGCAATCTGGAATTATGCATCTAAAGCAACTAAAATGTCCATACCTTTTGACCCAGAGATTACATTTTTGGGCATATATCCCAAGAAAGCCATCCATTAACATAAAGAAAATCCCTATGCACATCAAAATATTTGTATTAATACTTTTTATGATAGCAAAGAATTAGAAACAAAGTAGACGGTATCAATTGGAGAACTGCTAAAGAATCTGTGATACATGGATGTAATGGAATGTTACTTTGTTTAAGAAAAGACGAATGTGGTAAATACAGAAAAGCATGGAAGGATCACTATGAACTGATTGCAGAGTAAAATAGAGCCAAGAGAACAATTTATGTAATTACTACAACAATGTAAATGGAAAGAACAAACAGAAAGTAATTACAGTTAATTAAAGTTAATCCTGCAAAATTGCAAATAACAAGCACACTTGGCCCCCAAGAGACAAGAAAAGACACCTCCTCCTATTCTATTGCAGAGGTAGGAGGTCCATGGGTGTGGAACATTGCACAAAAGATCATATTTTTTAAAGTATTCGTCAGTTTTGCTGATTGTTTTTTTCTCTTCCTTTCTTTTTTCTTAACAAATATTCTTTGCTATATGAGATGGATTTCTGGGAGAGGATGGGAGGTAGACTTTGGAGGTAGGATGCCAGGGGGAAATTTAGATTATATAAAATTAAAAAATCAGTAATTTTTTACTTTTAAAAAGAGATTAACAAAAAAGCTGGGGTAGTGTCCAAGGATAACTTACCCAGCAAACTGTCATCATTACTAAGGTAGTTCAAAATAGAGATTTGGGCTGAGTTGTGGATGATGGGGTGATTCTAAAACACAAAACTGGGTAGGAAAAGGTCAAAGGGAGCAATTATGTTATAAAAATGGGGCGTGAAAGGAAGAACTAATACAGAGGAAGCAGGTAGGAGTGGAAGGCTGGTACTGTTGGAACCTTCATTTGGGTTAAAGAGGAAACTGTGTAGATCTAGAAGGGTGTAGAAGTTTTCTGAACATGTTAAGAGGTGGGAAAACTAGGGGTTATGGTGGGGAAGGAACTTTTAGAGGAGTATGTGGATTGTGATTTAGGAGGCTGTGGGGAGAAGTTGGAGGTGACTTTTGGAGAAGTGTGTGGATTGATATTGGGGATTAGGGACAGGAGATGGGGGACTCTTGGAGGCATGGGTGAAGTCGGGGGAGAAGATAAGGTAACAAGGTTAGGGTAAAAAGAGGCTGAGAAAGAAAATAGTAAAAATAAGATGGAAGGAAATTCACAAATAACAATTATATCTTTGAATCTGAGTGGGATGTTTATAGCAGCTCTCTTTGTCATGGCAAAGAACTGGAAATTGCAGGGATCTCCATCAGTTGTGGAATGGTTGAACAAGTTGTGGTATATGGTTGTGATGGAATACTACTATGCTATAAGAAATGATGATCTCATTGATCTTAGAAAGGCATGGAAACATGTGCACAAAATGATGGAGCAAAGTGAGCAGAACCAAGAGAACACTGTGTACAGTAACAGTGATATTATATTAAGAACAACTTTGAGTGACTAAGTCATTTTGACTATTAGAAATATGCAAATTAAAACTAAAGGACCTATGAAGAGAGATGCTATCTGCCTCCAGAAAAAGAACTGATAAATAGAACATATCTATATATGTTTATCATATATAATATATATGTGTGACGTGTGTATCATTTATACACACACATGTATTTGGGTCTAATGGTAGCCATCTCTGGGGCAGAAAAGGGATAGGGAGAAAAAAAAGGGGAAAAAAAAGAAATTTACATGGTAACTTTGTTGTATATTTGGAGGGAATACCAAGTTGCATATATGGTAGATTTGCAGTTTCATGTACAATCACTTTTTTTGTTTTACTGTGTTATAGAAATGCTTGTTTTATTTCCCAAATTAAAAATAAAATCAATTTAAATAAATAAGTAAATAAAAAGATATTACTGGCAGCTCTAAGGTAGGCTACATACCCACCGCGGTTCTCCTGACTCTCAGAATAGAACTCTATTCTACTCTGTTATGCTGCCCTTTCCTACGGGACAATTGTCAGGGAGTGTAGTTGATGATGCACTTACAGCCCTGTGGAGGATATCTAGTCTGGCATCAGAGTAACCATGGATGAGATGCTTTTCCAGGATCCCCTTGGCTGCTGAGGTCATGGCCATGCAAAGATTTTGGGAACTGCTCATTAGAAGCTCTGGGAAAGAGGATGAAGAAGACTTCAACATAAAGGGGTCTTCAAACTCAGATACATTTGGGGGTAGATGCTGCCACATGAGATGCTCTCTCATGCTGAGAGACTGTAATGGCTGCCTGATTGCTCTTGGTACTGGGAAGCAAGGCTGAGGAATCGCTGTTGT